GATATATTGCTGGCAGCTGTTCGTAGCTTATAATAAGCTCAGTCCATTGCTGTTTTTACCTACATCGACCTAAAATAGCTCTTCTTATTCTGTTGGATGATTCACCCAATGCTCCTAGGTTCGCTCGATTTGGCGAGGAAGGACGTCTCGGTGAGATCACAGATGTCCGGTGGCACAGTGGCATTCCCGAGCTTTTCATAACTAGCAGTGGCGCTGGTTCATGGCAGCGGAGCTATCCCAACCGAGAAGTGGGTCGGGGACGAGAAACTGGGAGGTCGAGCGTTTAGCGTATCGAGTGTCGCTGTTTATGACGCGTTATCCTGAATCTCTGCTCGCTCCAAGTCTCAGCCAGTGCATTGCACTTGGGAGTTTGATTCGCTCTAGTTTCTCTACTCTAACGCTTGAGACTACCTCTACTTGTGTTGCTTGAACAGTTGTTACGTGTTGCCTGCATTTCTGATTGTATAGATCTAGCTGGAATAATCTCTCCGCAAGGGACGAGTAAGACGCTAGACAATTGTCATAAGAGCCATACTACATTGTTTACGGGATCCTCAGTGTGTATAGGGATCACTGCTCCTCCATGTGTATTTTCCTTTTTAGAACCCTGTGGTCTGTATCTGGTCGGTGGCAATGCAGAAACGTCCAGAATTCGTGCTCCGAAGTCATACTGCTGTTGTGACCGCTATGAGCGACAAGTTCAATCCGACTATCTATCTGGGAGGCTCCGCGAGTGGTTGCGTATTAATTTGGGATACAAGAGCCAAGGTAAGGAATGGCTGGTTTGCTCAAATCTGTGGGAGATGCATCATAACTCTTGAATTCGTTACGATGAGACACGTATATATTGACCTTAACCGAGCCACGGGTGAAACTTTGTGAAAGTGTGCTAATTACATTCGATGATTTCGGTCCTTAGTGAGGACCTTGATTCGCGGCACATGAATTCCCTTCTGAGAGGTAGTTCCTGGAAATGTTTTCGCCTCAGTTTTCGCCAGTTCAGTGGTCACCAGCAGTCGGCGGTCTCGGCGGTGGTCACGAATCCTACAACGGCTCGCCGTCACTTGCTTCACCCATGCATGCTCAAGCAATATGCGGCATAGAGATTGTTGGTACGCGGAACGCGCATCATGTGACGACAGTTTCGCGCGAAGGAAAGATCTGCCTGTGGAGCACGGCTCAGCTGGTAGCGGTGATGAGCGGACCCGCTTCATGTGTTTATTCTCAGAGCGAGCCTCATCACTCGGTCCTTCTGCGCGACAGTGATCAAAGAGGTTACTCGGTATCCGCTGTTGCCTTTTCTGCGACTGATGCTAACCTTATCACGCTGGGGACCCACGACGGTCACATTGTGAGGGTGAGGGCCATATTTTGACGAGCGAGCAGAGTTGCGAGGATCAGGCGCGCTTGGACAGCACTACAGGGAATAGCAATCCATGGCAAACGACTAGGGCTAGTCTGCTCGCTCATGAAGGCATGATCACTGCGTTAGATCCTCATCCGCTCAGGGACATCAGGGCCATGCAGAAACCGACAGGTGATAGTCCCTACTCACTGGGGAGGGCGGTTATGGATACTACAACCATAGGTCGTTATGCAATCCCAAGCTATGCACCGGTTATTTAGGGAATGCATCATTATTCGGGATAATATCCTGCTATCTATCCTGAAAATTATTACCGTCTAGCTTCGAATAATAATGGGAAAACGAATGAGACCGCGTGTGTATAATTGAGTTTTTCGTGCATTTGGAGTGCATAATATATCCATGATTGTTTGGTATCATCGTAGCTTGTTGTTCTTGCAGTGAGGCGAGGTCTTGATGATCTTCTAGCTTCCGGATCAGTAGATTGGACGGCCAAATTGTGGAATATGGCCGGGATGGAAGAGAACATCAAGGCTGCAAGTCGAGACAGGACTAGCAGCGCAACTGATCTCTCTAGCATACTCGGGATTTCGGAGGATCCGCCGGCTACTGCTTCAGCAACGGTGGACACATTCAAGTGCTGCTAGCGATGGAGCTCCTGAATCCTTCATTCGTCACTGTTTCAGGGACACTGTGACAGACGTCCGATGGCATCCTCATCATCCGGCGATCCTTGCGGTCTCCACCGTTGACGCTATTCACATCTGCAACCTCAACTCTAACATCGAATCACCAGTAAAGAATGCCTCACAGATCAGTTCATCACTGTTTTGACTATGAAGATACATAGCATTCGAACTCCCGGATCGGCCCCCCAACGGCTTGCTTGGAGTGCAGATGGACGTTTGCTCCTTGCCGGAGATGCAGAGGGACGAGTTACTCTCTATGAGGCGGATCGTACTGTGTATCAGCCGAGATCAGAGGAGTGGACTAGGTGATGGAACATCGTCACGATATCCACATCTCTTCTGATGGGTTAATGACTAGCAACAATCGTAAATGAATTAGAGACGCCGAAGCTGAAGCTACGCTTCAACTGCATCGTCCTTGTAGATTCGAGGGGAGGCTCTGGGCGGAGGAAGAAACAACCGCGGACGAGATATGATAGCGCATGAACCAAATTCGTTTCATTAATTCTTCTCTTGGAATGTGTCGGGTCGAGTTGTGAGTGGACGGCAAGTAATATGAATTCGCGCAACTTGAAACGATAGGTAGAATACTAATAAGATGTTCCCCGCGGAACGCCAGCCAAGCAATTCACGCCCGTGAACACAGACCACTTGGATGGCGCGATATGCGCGAACCATTAACCATGGGACGACAATGCGTACCAACACCGCTCTTGCAGAAACCCACATGTACCAACATCCATCTTCATGAGTTCTATGGCTGTCCCTGCCTGGGTCATCGAACAATGATTCCTGTGAGCATTGTGACGGGTCGTCACTGACGGCCACACACCTGCTCGTGGAAGCAATGTTGGCTCGTCTGTGGTCAGAACCCAATTCATACACATTGTTAGCATGGAGAAATGCTTTTCCAACAACTTAAGCGTGGCTCTCTTTGTTGATCACTTTTTGTTGTCCCTCCCCCCTTCCCTGGATTTTTCAAAAATAAGGCAGGATCCCTTGATCGGGTCGTGTCGCACAATCTATTTTGATGGGCTTATATCTCTCGAGCTATCCACCTCGGGTTCGATCCCGTCACGATTGGTGTTCGCCGGGAATGTGGTGCGGCTCGTTGATGTCACCTGTCGATAGTGTCCACGACTGATGAGTGTTCACACTGTAGAGGAGGTTTTCCACTCTTTGTATCGACCACCGCTCTCAAGGGAAGGAAGAGAAGTACCTCTTCGGCTCGCCTGGAGATTCTTATATGGCTGAAGTTTAATAAGACTCCAGCAGATCGTGTTTGGAGCTATCCCGGACAGTCTGAATACCATTTTAGTTCTAGTCTGACAATAGAGTTAGGATGGACTCTGGG